CCAGCTCTTAAGGTGCATCTTCTTCCACTCTCCCTCGCAGCTAAAATCCTTGCCTAAGTTCTCATTATTTAACAGCTAAGTTGCTGCGACATCCTTTTCTCTGGCCCCGACACAAGCCCTAATCATACTGAATGCTGCTGCTGCTTCAAAGATCATTTTCCTAGCCTGTCACTTTGAACGTGTCACCCCTCTCCTGGCATCCCTGTACCACCTCCCCCTCCCCTATCTCGCATCTACATAAGCTGCCTATCTTCATTCTCAAGGCCTCCTGGGACTCCACCTATCATCTCTCATTGTCAGGAGGCACAAACAAGGAACAGAGCAGCTCCAGTGACTGCCCCGCCTGCTGAGCAGGCTTTCAGCTCTGCTGTGCTCTGTCCTTATGTACCTTTTTAGAGTGGGATATGGGTCAGCAGGACTGGTCAGGAGCAAACTAAGAGACCGCTGTTAAACACAGCCCGGAATGCTGGCAGCTGTAACATTTAAACACTGCTGGCACCTTGAAACGTACCCTCTCCTTTTGTCCAGTGTTGCCATCCTCCTGCATTCTCATTCTCATTTTCTCCTCTGTGGCCTCTCTTAAACTGAGAGGTTACGCTGTGCAAACGCTCTTGGATTTGTTCTGGTAGCTCTCCAGAATGTCCTTAAAGCCCTCCTTTGCCGTGACGTCTACAAAAGCTTTGACAACCTTTATGCTGCTGGTAAGGTACTGCTGCTGTCAGCTGCACTGAGCGTTCTCATTTCCTTTATTCGCCATCTGTCTTTTTGTATTCGTCTGTGGTCTTCCGTCCTCTATTTAGTTTGTAATCGCTTTGGGACAGGGCCATCATTCTGTTCAGTGTTCACACAGTGCTTCAGACAATATTTGTGGTTAGGGTTCCTGCGTGGTCTAATAACACCGACAATAAATAAAAACAGTAACGGGCTGTGGCAGGTGCTCTCTTTTTGCATAGATCTCATTGATCTCAGGCTGTGGGCAGAGCACACCGCATGGAGGTGGACTGTATCTTGTGGGTATCCGAGCAAAGGGCAAAACAGAAGAGCAGCGCCGCGTGTTCCATTCTAAACGCCGGCCAAAATGCCGTTAATCAAAGTCCCTTTCTGTGCTTTGGATTTTTGTTTTGTCAGGCAGCGTACAGCAGATCCTTTTAGCTTCATATTGTTTTCTTTGAGAAAAGGGCAGGGCAGGGGGAAGAAGGCTGAAGTTTATGCGCTTTTGTTTCTTCAAGAAAAATACAACAGGAGAGCTATAAACAGCAGGAGGAATTTAAGGAAGCGAAGACATTAGAAGATCTTTAGACCTCTCCTTTTGCTCTTCATACACGGCAGAAAACTACTTTAAAAACCTAATCTTCAGCTATTTTGGTAGCCAGTAGTAAACTGAGACATTGTCTTAGTTTCCTAACCTATAAATGGAGCTCTTTTAAAGAGGTCAGTTAAACCTCTTGCTTTAACTGACACAGGTGCTTTAACCCTTTAACTCTTTTTAAAGTCCTTTGCAGACAGACAGAAATGTGTAATGAATTGTTTTTGTTATGGCTTGAATTCAGTTTCATTAGCAAAATGGGTTTAAATCTTCTTCCATTCTGCAATCTGCTCTGACCAACATGTAGCCGTGCTCAGTGCCTGCTGGGGAGAGGAGAGGGTATGACTTGGCTGCATTGCAGAACGCTCCAAAGGGACTCCGTGTGGCTCTGAATTGCAGAGTTGTCCACAGAGAGCTCTCTTTAGACTGATATAGCTCATAAAGTGAGCAATCTTTGGGATCAGCTCAGAGTCCAAATTACAGAAAAGTGACTTAAAGTGCCTTAGTGATACCAGTACAACATTGCACCTCTGTGGTTCAGGGTACCAGCCAAGAATGGACAGAAAAGGATCACTGGGAGTAATAAAGCAGAGTGCAGTGTTACAAACTCTGCATCAAAGTACTGCATGAACAGGACAAGTATCAAGTGGGATATATAGTAGGATGCTCCAAAAGTAATGCCTTCTATTTATTTCCATGTAAACCGGAACAGATACAAAGGGCACAATAACACAGTTTGATAGAACAAATTCTCAGCTACAAAACACTAGTTTTCAATACAGTCACAACCATTATCTGTGTATTTTTGCTGGTGATGTACAAGAGCCTGCATACCACGCTTGTACAAATCTGCACTAGTGGAGGTGACCCACTGTTGCTGTCACCACAGCTGAAATGCACCACCCAACACCTCACTGTGCTCACATTCACTGTTTGGTCTCCAGAAATGTTCAGCAAGCATTAATAAATGTCAGTGGGTGCCATTTTTTCCTGTAGGGAGGAGTTAAATTACAGTTCATGCACATATCCATATCAAACACCATTCTGTGAGAGTGCCCCTCAGCTGCCATCTATTTCACAGCAACAAAATGTAGCAGAATACTGGCAAGAAGGTTCAACCTCAACTTCATGGACCAGTGTCATAAAATAGGAGGGATTACTTTTGGAGCAGCCTTCATAGAAACAGTATAAAAACCACAGAAGGTTTTAGTGGCAATAACACCCTGCATTTTATTTAGTGCCTTGTAATCGGAGAGCTCCTGAAACACTTTCAGAGTAGTGATTAAGGAAATGGAGACATTCCACTGGGTTACAGAGGTAATTAATGATTAGAGATTATTAATGAAAGACAAAAAGAGCCCTGAAGGAAGACCACATCAGTGAGCATAACGGAAACCAGGATGAGGAATGGAATGGACAGGATGATGTAGTAGATATCTGTAACACAAGATACAGGAATGTAGTCAGAACATTTAGCCCCGATTTATATATGTGAGAAACACGCAGCTTCCTCAAAAGGAATTTAAATACTTTTTCCTGTCTATCAGCCTGACCTCATCTTTAAGCTAACCCTGTATCAGTAGCTTGGATTCTTTTCTCTCCTGTCACTAATAGTCAGACCTGGGCAGGACCTGACAACTCAATAGCAAGTCGGCATTCCTGTAGATGTCACGGGCTGTCCCACAGTAACATTCAATTCAGGGAATATGGAGCGATACTTGTTAGGTGCTTTGGAAAGTTGGTTGGTTGTCTTTTTGGCAGCAGTTAGTACATCAGTTCTAGAAGTGGAAGAGAACAGAAAGTGTGGCAGTTAAGAATGAGACTGAACAAGCATAAGAATCTTATAGCTGGATGGTAGACCAGGAGCCAAAGTGAAGGCATTTATTTATTGTCTCAATCAAATGGAAGCCTTAGCTTTTTCTTTTTCCTGTTATTAATCTTCTGACACAGAAAACATTTACACTCCCTGTGGAACTCCTCCAAGTCAATCCATTCCTGTAAGGAAACCCAACCTTTAGTACTTTGTAATAAATAAAACATTGGGAATAAAGATGTACAGCAACACATTATAACGAATATTACCAAAAAGAATGCACAGATCTGTTCAGTGATATCTCTTTGGAAAATTCTTCTACTGATGTATCTAAGCACTTAAGAATTAACGTTTGAGCGTCTCACAATTACTAATGGATGTTAGGCTCTCATGACTCAAAAGGCAGAAAAGTATATTGCCTTTTACAGATTTGGAACCGAATGGTCAGTAGCTTGCCCAGGGCCATACATACATCTTTTGGTGGGAGTAGGAATTGGAGTCAGGATTTCTGTATGCCATCCCGGTACCTGAAGCCACCTTTTTACTCATTAAGAAATGTATATGGCATCATTTAGGAAAGGATGGTGATTTCCATAATGTTCTTTGGCATTTTTAATATCCCAGGTTTTTGTAGGCTTGACTGGGAAATAATGGAGAGTTGGCAATTAGCTGAGCCTTTAAAAGGAGCTGCTCTCTAGTCTGCTAGGTGTTTGCCATAACCTTAGGAGCTGTACACAGCCTTGTTACAACCTGTGTATCTGCAGCCTACCCCACAATTAAAAGGTTCAGGAAAGGTTCAGAATCGTGCTTTGCAGTGCATTTAAAGGCAGCTTGCTGCATACAGCGTGGTTGGGAAAATCCTCAACAAGCAAAGTGATTAAAAAAAAAAACAACAATCAAATGCAGAAAGCCTCCCTCTGGCCAAGCTCTACAATAGCAGACAGCTCATGGTCGGGTCTGCACCCATGTCTAAGTTCTCCAACCTATACATAAGGGAGCTCTTAAGCACTCTAGCCTTAAATGCATAAGCAATCCCATCGCCTGGGGGTGGGGAGCCGGGTGGAATATTCAAGTGCTTTGCTGGGTGCCTTACTGTAGGCAGTTGTATTTCTGAAATCCTGGCCTGCCGGTGTTCTGTACAGCATCCCAGATATTTGGGTCAGAATGCTCCCATGAGGGATGCTTTCTCTAAACTACTGGCAAACCAAGCGAAACAAACCAAAGGGAACGGCCGCACGGCACCCTGCCCCCCACCAGCCTTCCTTACCCCCAAGGTTAGTTTGGGACCCACTCTGTTCTGAATGGCTGTTGATACAAAGTCATGCTCTTTTCCTTTTCATGTCACTTGTTTAAAGAGGAATTTTGAAGCGGTTGCTTACCGCAGCAATGCTTGGGAAGAAAAAGAATAGCAAGTGTATTTTCAGAATGCCCTTAGCAGCTTTCTTTTTGTTTTGTTCCTCTCCAAGCCCCTGCTATTCAAGTTCTCCTCAGAGCACTAACAGCTAAATTGTTCTATGCACACAGCTCCCATTAGCAAGAGGAGTCATGCACATCATTCCCATGAACTACTTTAACAGCATTGCTCTATATGACAAGATGTGCCTCAACCAGAGAGGATGCTAGATAAATTTTAACCACACAATAGTCTCATTTTAGCCCATGTTTAAAATAGCATTGGGATTTTTAAAATGTACCCTCCCACTTTTTGGCATCAGTCATCTTTGTCTTTCTGGTTTAAGAAATTAGATATGCCAGAGCATAACAAATCTGCATTAGAAGCACGGGCTTTGCTGCTTTACAGCAGAGAAAAATGGGGGGGTGGCTGACGTTTGGATTTACCATGCCATAACAATCCACAGACCCTAATTCATCAGCAACGAGTTCACATCCTTTACTTTTTATTAATTGCATTGAAATTTCCGTCAATTATTCAAACTCTCAGTACTCATAACTCATTTCACATCTCTTGCTCTATACAATCTGAGGTCTGACTGTGCTTAGATTCATATATGGAAAGACAGCATGATTTCTTTACATGGCAGAGACTCCCTTGAAATCTCCCTGCCCCCGGTAAAGGTTTAGTTTAATAAGAATTAAAGTATGTCTCTGACTAACTCTCACACAGGAAGCATATCAATTTCATGGGTCAAATGAAGATCAATCCAAGTGTAATAATAAACATATATGCTCTCATCACATGCATTGACACTGACTACACAGTATAAAGGAAACAGAAATAGTTATGTTGAGTAGGGTGGGAGGAGGTAAAAACAAGTTCTTCTCTAATGTCAAACAATTAGTTTCTGATTTATTTCTCAAAGCACATCAGTGGGTAAACCTTGCAATTTCATCTTAGCTAGAGTAGCTGAGGATGGCATTACAGAGAGCTCATAAAAATTTAAAACCATTTCCTAAGTCTAGGAGACTTTTTTCTTCTCTGTTATCAATGACAATGAATGCTGGTGTCTAGATGTGGATGCTGTAGTAAAAATAGACCCTCTTTTGGATTAGTTTTGTTTGATTGTGGTTTTTTTTTTTTTTTTTGAATTATCATTATTAAATTATTGGACTGCTTGCTCTTCATGGCTAGAAACAGTGCTTGGCAATTACATGGGTGTTCTGTACTAGTAACCAGAAAAACAAGCTAAAGATCCCAGTTTCATAGTAAAAAGGTACAAACTGTGTATCTTAACTAATTCCATGCTCAAAATGGCCATGCAGCTCTGCTCCAGTGCAGGGATATAACTTTAAGAGCACAACAGTGTTCAAGGTGGAGTGTCCCCCAGCAGCTGAAATTCTGCAGGCAGTCCTGAACATATACTCCAAATTTTGGGCAAGGCAAAAACACAGAAATTCCCCAAATTGTTGCATATTACCACCATTCGTCATAACAGAGTCTTTGGGGTCAATGTCTTTTCTTCCCCACTTGATGTTATTTTCATATCCTTTTATCACCACCTGGGAGCCTGTGAGAAACTGCACAGCAACAAACCGGTGAGTTTATGCAGCAGAGAGCTGCGGTATGGACAGAAGAGAGATTCCAGGAGGCTTATTAAACCATCACAAAATGATTAAAAATTGGTGACCATCTTTTTTTAATTGGCTCCTGATGGAAGGGTTAATAGGAATTCTAATACCTGTGTTAAAAAAAAAAAAAAAAAAGACATAAAGAAAACAGCGTAACATGAAATAATTCATATTGTCTCTGTGTAAATGAGGCAATAAATGCCTGAAACACGAAGCTCTGTCTGACTTCACAGCAGGGCCTGGTGCTTAATTGAAAGTCCTAACTAGACCCATTTATCAAAGAAATCACTCAGAGGGAAATTTAATTATCACAATTAATCTATATTTTTTTAGAAAGTCTCAGTAAAGCACATTGAAAATTTCTTTGGGAAGAACGCTGTCTCTATTTCCACGCCTCCAGTGTGAGCCTGGAGTGCTGCAGATGAGTGCTGCAATCGCACCTGGAGGAGCAGACAGCAAAAAGAGCAAGTCTATGTGGGTAGCAGGGCAGTGCCCTGCTACGTGAGCGTGAAAGGCCTGAAGAAGCATGCAGGTCTGTGCCATGGTAAAAACCCCTTCAAGTTTTTAGGACTCCTGGACTTTGGCATGCAGCTAGTGAAGTCAGGACCTTGCTCCTCACCTTACAGAGTGTGGAGCTCCAGCACTCACCTTGGATGCAAGGTGCAAGGAACAGGCATTCCTGCAGTAGCTACAGTGGAGGGCAGAAGTGGGACAGGGAAAGCGGGGCCATGGATGTTCTTTCATTTAGTGTGAACTGCAGCCTCACTCCTGATCCTGCTCCCCAGGCTTAAGGGGAGTCTGTTATGCATGCCCAGGTAGCACCATCTTGGAATCATAGAATCACCAATGTTGGAAAAGACCTCCAAGATCATCCAGTCCAACCATCCACCTATCACCAATGCTTGTCCACTAAACCATGTCCCTCAGTACAACATCTGCGTGTTTCTTGGACGCCTCCAGGGACTGTGACTCCCTGGGCAGCCTGTTCTCCTGACCACTCTTTTAAAGGAAGAAGTTTTTCCTGATACCCAGTCTGAAATCCTTCCCTCCTCTTCTTAGGAGTCAGGGAGCATTTAACACTTCTGTGCATGCTCTTTTCCACTCTTCTTCAGTGGGAGAAGTTGTAGCTTGCTCTCCCAGTATCACTGAAGTTGTTTTCTGCCTTTTCTTCTGTGCTTCCTACATTATTCAGGTTATACCAATCACCATATGGGAAGGAAACAACTCCAGAGCAGGCTGAATTACTGTTTAATTGGGCATCCTGTGAAATAAACATTGTGACTTGGATAAGATTAAAATGTGAGTCACAAGTCGGGTGAATTTTCAAGTGTTGGAGAATGCACTGAGGGAACCAGGCAGGGACAGCAAGGAGAGTGCAGCCAGGAGCAGTGCTGGACACGGCAGCTTGCTTTCCCAAGGCTCAGATGAAAGCTCCAGGGGGCAGAATTGGGCAAAACAAACAATAGTTCCTTTGTTAAGAAGAGTCACATCATCCACCAGATTTTCTTTAGCATTCATTTGCCTGTGCTGTGCCCACCTGTGAACACTCTTTGGCATTGCCCTGGTGTCCAGTCCAGCTTGGTTCTTAGATGTTGGCACTTGGGAGCGCTGTGAAGGACCCTGCCAGCAGGACCAACATCTCCTCTGCACTCTGCATTTACATTTGACACTTTGCAGTACTTCTGGGCAGCAGTTGTACTGGAAGAAACAAGTGACACACATAGATGTGAGAACGACATTGTAGAACTTCATTAAAATAGGAATGCTAAAAGTATAACTGACCGTCCCCACCAGCCTCACTTGATTTATCTGCATAAACCTGGTGCTGCATTTAGGGACAGAGCTCCTCACTCAGCCACTAAAGCACCCCCCTCTCCCCCCAAAAAAGCTTACCTAGGTTCAGATGTCCTTGGATTGCTTTCTGCTTTGCCTCCCTCCCTGGCATAGCAGGAGGTGGCTGGGGTGGAAGGCTGTGGTGGAGGGAGGGTCCCCCTGTTCTGCACTGCACCTGAGCTGGGGGAGGTCACAGCTGGCAGCCATCTCCCAGCAGTGGCTGCACACCAGCCTATGACAGTTCCCTGTGCTCTCTGCTCCTCAGGGTATTTATTGTGCCTCAGAAATTGCAAAGGTTGTTGGCTTGCCATTTACCACCAGGTGGCCTAACTATTCCACCGTTCATGAGGAACCAAGCCTCCATTAGAGAACGGCAGCTGGAACTTTTTAAGCTTTGCATATTTTTCTTACCAAGCCTCCACCTTCTCCCCTTCCTCCACATTCAGATGATTAAAAGCGAGCAGGGCTGCTCTTGTTTCTCAACCCAAACCTTTTCTCAAAGGAATTGAGAAAAATGGTGCCTCCAGCCCTAGCCATAGAACCTGAGCTTAACCACCTCAACCTACCGCTTAGTCTGAAAGTACTCTTACCATAACTACACAAATAACTGGCACTTTTCCCTCAGTAGCCGGACATGAATTCATTTCTTTGTTGCCTCAGGTATGTCTCTGGTAGCTGGTTTTGTGGTCTCCCAGTTCTGTACCAACCATGTATGCAGGGTTTAGGGCTGTCCACGAAGCAGCACAGAATGGATTCTGTGGGCCAGAGTATTAAACTTGGTAAGAGGGAGTTGATTTTTAAAACTACAGACAGCTGGGAATGTGAGCTGTGCCCCCACTTTGTAGATCCAGGGCAGCCATTTGGGACCTGGCTGAGCTAACAGCTCCTCAGGCGAAAGGGGAGTCGGCATTACAGCTCTCTCAGCTCTCTCTGTATAGTCACGGACTGACCTCACATCTTTGGCTGATAGGAGCTGAATTTAATGATCTAAAAGGGGGAAGGAAGATACGTTCAGATGTTTGTCTCGGATTTCTTGGTGAGAGGGGTGGGGAAAGCTCTATCTGGTGTCTCAGCATTGTGAAGTGAGAGTGAACTGCATAGACGCCAATGGTGTTACACACAAATTCTGGTGGTCAGAGGTCATCAGACGTCTTCTTAGGAAAATGGTTTCAGGAGCAGATGAGTTATTTCAAGTTCTGTAACACTAAGTGCTTACTTTTGTATTTTCTACCATCTCTGTAATGTCTGAAAGGTTCGGAAGATACCTTCAGAACAAATCTCAGCGACTGAAACGATGAACTGAGCTGGTTTATTTGGATAAAACATCCATGATTCATTTGTTTACTCATCTCCGTAATGATGCATTTCTGTTTTGATGTGAGTGGGGACAGCGTACAATGATGGCAAGCACAGACATCATGTCAGAGCCCAGCAGTAGAAGCAACTTTCCCAAACGAGGTCAAATGAGCTCTTAAACTGGTGCCTGACAATCCCAAATCAATGGCCATAGTCTCTGAATGTATCATAATACAGTTGCAGCACAAGAGATAACTCCATCGGGGAGATTTTCCTAAAGGGATGTGGTGATTGAACTTTCAAAAATACCAGTCATTTGGAGAAAATTTCAAGAGTGTTAAAATTACTTTGGTAAATGGATTTGTTACAAGTAACTAATACGTAGAAATTGGTAGAGGCTTCCAGTTGCATCACAAAAATGTTGTGAAGTAACACTGGCTGTTTCAGCTGCTTTAACCTAGCCTTGGGCACTGAAGAGCCCAATTCTGATCATTTGCAGGATAAGCAATCAAATTCAGGGTAACGAGACCTCAGCCAAGGCGTTACTCTGGATTTACACCTCTGCAGATAGAATCAGATGCTATCTGCTAGTCTATGCATCCTCTGAGAATAAAATTAATTTTGAATTCTCGTATCATCTGCTTGCTTGTGCACTTATTTGCTAACTGTCTGACGGAGTGAGCTATTCTGGGTCAGTATGATTTAGGCATCCTTTATTACACAGTTTCCAATTCAGTACATTTTTTAATCAAGTCTAAATTGAAGTCAGGTTCCAGGTACATATAAATATAATATATATTTAGTGCATACATTGAAAATCCCCGAGTCTAATTTTGAATGTAACTATAGTGGCATGAAAAAAAAAAATAAGAAGGTTCTTTATTTTACAGAGAAGCGTTAAAATATTGCCACTTCTTAAAGGCAAGCTAAGACCTATTTTCATATTTTCAAAATCACATTAGCTAAAAGCTTGTTAAGGAATAAATAGTCCAGAGGATAATTGAGACTTAGCTGGCTTAAGCATTAATGAATCAAAATCAGATGCCAGATCATTAATTAATTCTACAAATTATAATGTTGCTGTTACTGGCAAATACTGTAAGAACTAATACCAAGGAGCAAATTAAACTGCATAGTTTTCCTTCCCGCTGCGTATCTTTTGCCCAAAATAAAAACATTGTGGTTATTTTTGGTCCATTACACATAGTGTCTTTATTTTTAAAACTTGTGGAAGATTCTTAATTTTTAAAAACATTTCCATGTATTTATCATGCTATTTCTAGAATGCGCCTATCACAGACTATAAGGACATTTCCATCAGTGCTGTAACCCACGGAAAGGGAAATGTAGCAAAAGTGACAGAAAAGTCAATTCAACACTTCCTAAGCCTCACAAAAATTCACACCCCTTCAAATCAGACTCTTTGGCAAAAGGCAGAATAATAGATGGGTCTTGCAATGTGGCCTGAAGTGCAACCATCTCAGACTCTGTCAGAGCAAGGCGGAAAATGGATTAGAGGGGAAGCAGGAGAGCCAAAAGGGAAGGTCCATTGAGCATTTCTAGCCATCTTTTCTGATCCTACAACAAGGAGACTTTAACATAGTTAGAAAGTGACAAACTTTAGAAACTCTTTTACAGAACAAGGGATCCATGTGGGCAGCTGGCTTTAATGTGTTACCACTGAGGCCAGAGCCTTATAAGTAGTAAAAGGCTTAACGGTTGCAAAGAGGTATAGCTTGAGATGAAATAATGAGGTGATCTAACAGTACTCTAGTCAGGATAAAACCTTAGGGGCAAAATGACAGGTTTTGGGCCCTTCCCTGAAAGCTCCCAGTATGTAAACTCTGTCTCATGTGCTGGACCTTTCCTTATTTTCCCCTCATACGCCAGACTCCAGAGTTTTCAGAACTAGAACAAGCAGGTTCTTCTCAAGCACATCCCAGAAAGTTTAAATGCACCTGAACACCAATCATAAACCAGTGCAGTGGGGCATTAACATAATAGTTTACTCACCTAAGCATCACCAACTAAGTTGCTCGGTGCAATCTCTTCTAGCTGAGACTGAGTTGTCCTGAAGAATCCAACAAAGCATGTCACATATGGCAGCCATGAGAGCATTGTGCCTGGAAAAGTGAGCTGTGGAAGCACAGCCCATTTATCCTTACTCCAAACATTCCAATTTTTTCCATATTTATTGCACATTCATTCCATTTTCTTCCTGGTTTTAATTGGGGAAAAACAAAAGGTCCAAGTGGACCTGTTTTTGTAGGAATAACAGTAAGACATTCTGAAACAAAAATGTTCTTGCAATTTCCCAAAACCAAACGCAGCTCATTTTCCAGTTGGAATCAGAGACTTGTGAATCTTGTTAACTTGAGCTACATTTCAGCTGAAGAACAAGTAAGGTGCCACCGTACTTTCATTTTGTCTGTATTAAATTTCATCCCTCACTATCTGCCCACCGTCAATGGCAGACACATCTTCGTTGCCAAAAGAAGCATATAATGTAGATCAGAGACTGCTAGCACCATGCTGATATTCTTTTATGATGGCTTCATATATATGCTGAATAGAGGAATTCTTGGTAATTTGTCATCCTTTGGGATCTCTGAGCTACCGAAAGGTGCTGACCTTTGCCATGCAATAAAAATGAAACTGGCAATAGGCAACCCTGTAGATAATAATGCATTCTAATATATCTACATTATCTACCCCCATGCTGAATTCATGGCTCTTTTCCATGTCTGGAGATGACAGATAATACCAAAGCTGTTTTATTACAACTTTTGGCTTCCTGCCAAAATTAGAGCATCTAAAAATAGATCTGTAATTAGGATCTGCCTCTGAAGTCACTGTCTGGAACATGAGTCCAGAAGCTGCTGACAGCAGCCAACAGTGGGTACCCAGACAGAGCAACAGAACGAGCGTGTAAGGATGGTCCCCCCACGGACTTTCCCAACCTGCAACAATTTGGAGCTCACCAACTTCCTGAGAGAACAGCCCTTAAAGAAACTTTCTTTTATGAATTTGTCCATTTTTTTGTTAAGTCTATATCAAGCCAAAAATATCACCAATATGGGTCACTTCCATTTTTCATCTCTGATCACGCTCTTTCCCACTGGATTGGTGGGAAGGTGACATATTTATTTTTTATGACTCAGAGGTGGAAAGGACTCTCTTTACAGGGCTGGATGGCCAAGTTTGTGGTGAAATAGCTGCTATAATTCTGCTTGGGTTTCCTGTTATCACTAATGATTTGCTAGGGCACTTGAAGCCTGCAAAGCAATCCCTTAAAAAGATTTTAAATATATAAACGCATTCAAAAAACTGCCCATTCGCTAGCATGGCTTACATTCCTATGTTCTGACACTACAGCCCTAATTCTTCTGACATTCTGAAATCCGTCCCTGTGGGCAATTAATAATGCCACCATCATCAAGAAGAACGACAGGCCCCAATCGGGAACTTGCACAGCAGTGCCGTGAAAGTGGGGAGTGTTCAGCTGCTATAGAAACCTCATCTGCATGAGACTGTCTTGCTCTTTTGCTTTTGTTTCTATCTTTTGCCATCCATGGAAATTAATTAATTCTATCAATTAATAGAAACTTTGTGCCAAACGACCTCTGCTGGGTAAGGAAGGATAGCTGTAAACAACTTTTTTGTTTTCAATGGGAGTCCAGTGATGGCTGTGGCAGTTGGAGGATAAGGAAGGAAAACAATCTTTCCTCCTTTCAAGTCAGATTTCTGTCGGCAAATAATTTACACTGACTGGCAAATGGTACCAAAATGGATGCATATTTTTGTCTATTTCTTGCTATCTTACTAGCTTTCAGATGCTTTATTGAAATCTTGTGTGTTGAGGTGATTTCTGTCTGTGATTTTATAGAATACGTAAACGCACATTGATGCTTGTCTACAATGATCTTATCACATAGTGCTGCATAATCAACAGACACCTAAAGATCGGATGCTCTGGAAGAAACATAATAGATGAGGCATGATTTTAAACAAGAATAATTATGCCAATATAATGCCTCATACAGACTTACTTATTTCCATGTAAATGTGTGGTTTTTGTCTTGAGTTGTGTAACCTTGGCTGGTATTATCCTGGAATGAAAACAACTGTATGTCAATTAAATTAAGTTCCTGTAACAAAGTTATCTGTAGCAGTACGAAAGGCAAAACTTTCTCAGTAGCCAAGCTGGCACTTGGCTCTGAGGCTGTATCTCCCATCTTTCATGGAGATGCTGCAGTCTGCCATGCCGATGAATTTGCCACAGCCCTGACACTTCATATGCTTCTCGTTTTATACCCGAATGCCCCTAATCTGTTCCCACCAGACCATGTATATATTACAAGTTCACTGGCACACACCTTCAATGGGGCTGGGGAGCACTCCTCACACTCCACTGTCATTTATCCTGAGGGATGACAGAAAAAGAAAGTGAAAGGCGGTACAATATACTCAAAGAGCTTTTTTAGATGAACAGTTTGTGGAATATTGTAAATCACAGCAGAAGCATGATGCTTTGCTCACCTGATTTTATGAAGGCTTCCTAGAAAGCGTGACATGATGGGGAGATCTCGGCATCCAGAAGTCAATGGGAAGCATTTTGGTGTTGCAACAAGGGCAAGATTTCTGTCTGTCGGTCATCCTGTTCCAATCCTTCCTCCTCTCCTGCTATCAAACAGGAGACAAAGAACTGTACCGCTCTATTTCAGCTGTCGTTTCAAAGGAAGAAGACTGACTTAATTCCCTATCTCCAGGTCAGTTAATTGGTTGCTGGTCATAAAGGATAACAGTTTTTATTGTTCAATTTAGACATAGGCTAGAATAAAATAGTTTGAATTGTCTTAGAACGTGACCTGCCTCCTGGATGAAGAAGCATAAAGGCTTCTTTTAATGGGAAGTCATGGATTGAGTCACAACTGGAGAAATCCTAGCACCTAAAATCACTGAAATAGAACTTCTCTGTGTAGCCAAATGCAAAACCTGTTCTGTCTGTTGTAAGAATTGTGAGCAATGTTAAGTGCATTTTACCCATGTCAGTTTTTGGAACAGAGGTTAAGCTCCTAGTTAGAGATTGTTAAAACAGGGCTGGGGAAAACTCAGAAATAGATACTGCTAATTGGCTGTGGCTAAGAGCAAAAGCTGTCTTTAGGATCTACCATTTCTTCAGGATGCCACAGAACTTTATAGCTTCAGCAGGCACTGTAACCACCATATGCCAAAAATGCATCTTTATTAAGGGGCATTCAGGTATAATAAAATGTTTTGGCATCTTTATTAAACATTTCCTGGGGAAATATCAGACCTGGTTACAGAAATTAAGTAGGTGGTGAGTCTTCCCATGCTGGCACAGGATACCTACCTCGTCAGCAGTTGGCTATTTGATCTTATGAATACACCCAAGCCTCCTAAATTTCATCACCCGACACTCTGGAAGGCAAAGCAGTTTTGTAGCACCAATCTGCTGGTCACCTGACTGTGGGGGTATGCATGTACTGACTAATGGACCCAAAAGAGGCAAAGTGGTGGAACAGAAAGCCGTGGAAGGGAATGCTTGTTTGCTTTCAGAAGTTTTCAGAAACTGCAATTATTGGCAGAGGCTCAGAAAATGCATGACCAGCCAAGAGATGCAATGATTCTGCAGATTCAGCACTTTTTCAAAGTATCTTCTTTTCAGAAGTTTTTCTGCAGCAACTTCAACAGATTCATTTTTTAACAGTTGGTGGAGCTGATGGGATGAAGCCTATCTAGCTTTTCCCTTGTTGATGGCCAGCATTTTTCACAGTGAAGACATTATAGTGGCATCAGCATAATGTTTTTTTGTGTTTGATTGGCTGGTCTTTATAACCTATCCAACCTTTTCAGGTTAGGAAAAATTTCTTCTCCAAAAAAGTGGTCAGGTGCTGGAACAGGTTGCCCGGGGAGGTGGTGAAGTTACAGTCCCTGGAGGTGCTCAGGAAACATGTACATGTGGTATTTAGGGACATGGTTTAATGGGGGAATAGTGGTGGCAGGTGGGCAGTTGTACTGGATGGTCTTGGAGTTCTCTTCCAACCTTAATGATTCTCTGATTCTATTGAATCAGCAAAACTAACCTCATCCAGCTCCAGTATAAGACACACTATTCCAGTACACAACATCTTCTGAGGATTAACGTATGTTGTCTGGAAATAGGTTTAGTTTTATGGATAAGAGCCATTGGGGGGCATGAACTTCCCTCCAGGTGCTGTGCCTGTGTTAGATACCGCAGCCATCTACAGACCACTGTCTGGCATGGATTAGATTCTAGACTGAAGAAGCCTGGCTCCATCTTTCTGTTCCTTCCCCATCCAAGCTGTTACCATACGAGCAGCAGCCTGAGCTTCTCCATCTTGTTACTTGATGAAGCCCTTGGGAAAGTGGTGCATTTGGACATGCACTGTTAGACCTGGATTACTCAGCTCCCTCTGTAAGTTGCAGGTGTGTGTCTGCACCTTCAGTGTGTCGAAGCAACTCAAATAGCTCTGCTGTTCAGCCCAGCTGAACTGATCCACCTTTTCTCATCCAGTCCTTTAACCAGCCCCTCTTTCATCTGCATTTACCAGTCTAGTATTTTGAATTTTTATCCAGTCTGCTTTCATTTACTGTTAAAAATGCATCTCTGGTATCAGGCACATCATTTTTAAGCCTCCATCGTGCCAAGAGAGTTAGCAAAACATCAGTTTTTCACTTCAGTTCCCAACCCATATGTTTTCAAGTAGCACCAGGGAAACATTTTTTAAAGGACAGACTCCAGAGATGTCTTCTAATATCATCAGCAATGATAATCAAAAGCTGCTTCTGTAGAAGCCTGCGGGATTATCAGTCTCTCAAAAGGAAATTCAGCAGCTTTTCTTGCAGTAACATTTATTCTCCACTCTTCCACCTCTAGCTATCATTCACCTCGAGGTGGTGACACTCGGGACAACTCCATTTCCATATGTGCTACCTATTTACATGTCAGGAGGGATCCCTAATCTGGGGCCGCAGCCCCTCCTGACTTTTCAAGGGAAATGTAACTCAAATGCTAGTAACAGCTCATCATAGTTGATAAGATTATTCAAGTTATGCCTCATTTGCAGTTGCAAGACACACCTCAGAGGAAGTTGTTTTTTTTCTTCTCAAATTCAGACATAATTTCAGTTATTCATGACATCCGTGTTAGGTCTGAGACTCCTCCACAAAGAAATACATTCCATTTTTCAAGCTATTTTGTCTAACTCTGCTCAGGCCCAGAACTAATGCAGCATGTTCCTGCCCTGTGCCTGGCGGTGTGCTGGATGTTTAGGAATATCCACCTAGCAGTCCTCCTTCCTGCACATCTTCCTTCTGGTGACCTCTTTGTTGCAGAGGGTAACATCAGCAGAGCACAGAGAGGCAGGGGTGACAGGGAAGTGGATCTTCTGAAGAAAATTCATCCAAACGTTTTCCAGAATTGCTTTATCACCAGCAATCTCATTGTTTGCCATTCTTCCATTCCTCAGACATCTTCAGACTTTCCAGCCCCACTGGGAGCAGCTTAATATCACCTGGGCTGGGGGGAAAATGGAGCTGCAGAGCCCAGCAGTGCCCCACTGGTGCCTGCCACAGCATGCCGGGTCCTTGCCTTGTGCCTGCCTCTTCTGGGATGAGCTCCCGAGCAAAACTTACTGGCCATGGGAAATCCTGTAAGGATGAGAATATGACAAAAAGAGCAATAAACGACCCCTGTAAGGCCTGCTGGCTGCCCTTCCTTTCCTCGAGTGGCTGGAAGACCAGCCTGCAGTTGCCTTTAGCACCCTGAAGAGAGCATGGGCAATGCCTGGGGCCGGTGCTGGTTAAGGCAGGAGAGCAGGATCTGATCGCAGCCCTGGACTGGGCACACATGTGGAACTGGAACAGGAGAAATTGAAATGGAAATGAAGTGCCCTGGCAATAAATTTGCCAGCAGCCTAATTTTCCCAGCGATGACACCCTGGGCAGAGCCTGTGTGGCCCAGAAAGGAGCGGGTTTTAAATTTTCTAAAACTCCCTAATCCGCTTTATCAGCCGCCTCTCCCAAAACTGCCGCTGCTCCCTGAGAGATTTAAAGCTGCTGTGGCTCCTCCAAGGCCTTTTCCTGATTATGATGTTTATTCTCATCCAGTCAAGACAGAGCAACATTAGCATGTGATTTACCGTGCATGGTCAATTGCAGATACCAGCACTCAACATCTGAAATTCAAGCAGCAGCTTCTTGCAGTAAACTGGTCAGGATCAATCCGGAGATAAGAAGGACGGCCCTACCTCTTTAGAAGGCAGTGGGGGTTCATATTCGAGGTCTGTCAGTCTTATCCTGCTGAGCACAATGCTCTGCATCGCTCCTAGGAATCAGTGCGGGCAATGACAGCCGCATGGTATTAATACGTGCCCCGGTGCTGGCTTTAATTCCATTCTTTTGTTTAGATTTTTTTTTTTTTTTTTGCTTGCAACCATCCGCTTTTCCTCTCAGGTTTCAAGTCTTTGTATATATCTGTCAAGCAGGCGGTGCATTCAGGACAGGTTTTCATGCCACGGCATTCTTTTACCTAATGAAAACAAGTGAATAAAACATAAGAGAAGTTCCTTTAAATTAAAAATAGAGAAACAAAACTGAAGAAAGCCAGCACCTGAAGGAGAACATGTATTTTCCCAGAAAAAATGCCTGCTGAATGGATGAATCTTTATATATTTCTTCTAATTTAAGAATATGCTTATGATTGTACCCTAATTAAATAAGGAGAAAGGACCATGCATGGCAGCAGAGAAATACATGCATGCATGAAGAGTCAAAAAAATCCAGGTAAACTTCTGATAGCAAGACACATCCATGTAGTGTAGCGACTTTCCAAAACTGAAATTTTCTCCCAAGGGCCCCCAGTTTGTATTATTAATGCCATTTTTCTTAGCCTGCATTTTCATTTCCATTTGAGTGGGGAAGAAAACAAAGGCAAAAACTCCAGGAAGTTGGAAAGGACTGTGCCGTCTCTCAGCCATGAGCATCAGATGCTTTCAAGCAGACTCCAAAGGTCAGCATGAGCAGTGCTCCTGGTGCAGCCCCATGCCACAGGGCTCGGGGCTGAGATGCAGCTAAGCTGGGGCCTCTGGTCCCATTTTGCAGCAGCTGGGGGGATTTAAGCTCTGGTGAGGCTGCCTGCTAGGAGTTGATGTATGGCAAAGACTTGTGGGGAGCGGGACCATGATGATCACTGCAGTTGGTCCTTCTGCAGGTTGTGCAGATCTTCTGATGCCATATCCTAAATGTTTGTCACCAACTGGCTGTCCCCCTTCTCTGTTTAACATGAACATCCTGTAATTGGAGTGTTGAAATGCTCGCTGCCATCCCCAAGGAGGAGGATACACAGGAGGATCCAGAAGAAATCCATCTTTGCTGTAATGCATGTGTGCAGCTCAGGCCAGATAGGGCTGTTCAGATGTTTTATTCCTCCTTTTCATCTCCTTTGTGGAGGCTCAAGTGATACCAGAACACAGAGACTTCCTTTCAGGGCTTCAAAGATGTGCCAGGTGCACTATGCAGGCAGGCTTTTTTTGATGCTTCGCCGAACTTTCCTCCATATCATGTTGTATGGAAGCCTGGGGGCTGCTTTGGTTGGCTCTGAGAGGGACACAAAGAACCCATAAGCAGGCGGTTGCTATGATGCTGCTAACTCGTTCTTCAAGCAATTTTCATGGCACTGGACAGTAATTGCCACTGACTGTAAGTCATATGGCCTCTGGCATTTCCCTGCTGTTTGAAGATCTATTGATGAGATCTGTGGTACCCAAAGGCCCTGGGCTTTTTTGCCCCCAAGCTGCTGCTAGTGATGGCTGGGATCCCTAAAGGTGCAACAGAGAACAGAAAAAGCTACCTATGCTAGCTGTCAGAAGAGAGAGAGCCAGGTCTGCTCATCACAGCTTCATCAACTCAGGTATCATCTTGATATTGATGTTCCCCCAGCACTCCTCAGTTTCTGGGTGCATGCCCACCTGCTCTGTTCATTTGCCTTGCCAGTTGCCCCAGTGAATGGAAAGCAGAGCTTTGTCACCTTCCTGCCTTTTCCATAATCTAAAAAGGTACCTGTAGGTATGGCTGTCCACAAGGCAGGCTTCCTGCTCCTCCCATGGAGAATGCCATCTACTCACTGATGAGCGGCGGGAGATTTTAATGCTGTTTTGTTCCCTTCCCTAGAAAGATCTGAAAGTGAATACATCACACATCTGTCCCACTGCTAAAGCTATCGATCAAACGCGTAAAGATTGGATGCTTGCAGAGATCTGGAGGGCTCTGCATCTGTTTTCTAGGATCACACTTCCTTTCTTCTCAAATGCGAGATTTGCAATTCTTATCTGGGAACCCGTTTTAGTATTCAGTATTATTGGAGTTAAGATTAACACTTGGAATAACAGTTAGTATTGACCTCTTCTCTGTAGTTGTTCTGATCGGGCCTTTAAAAATTGGTTAACATTCTCTCATCACTGGCTATATGGGATTTCCTGCATCTATTTATATAAACCTGACTTTTATGTACAGAGAGAAAGCTCCAGAATAGATCACAGTTGGGGTGATATTCTGGACCTACCTGAAAAAAATACAGGAGTCATTTGTAGTCAGAAATGCAAGTTTAAGATCAGAATATATATATATATATATATATATATATATATATATATATATATATTTAATACTAAAAAATAACTAAATAAGATTTCCTGCAGACCTGAACAGACCATTCCCAAATGCGCATTTCAGTAGAGAACAGGCAGAGTGGATGGCCTAACTCTTAGGCAGTTGGAAGTATTTTACATCTTCTGTTCATCTATTCACTTTTTCGCAACATTGCCCAGAAAATCTTAGAATTCATGTGCTGGGATCCAGCAGTAGCTTAGGAAAGAATACTAGATAAAAAAAAGTACTTCTCTGGAAAGCAAGATTTAAAAAATAGATCCCATAAAAGTGATTCTCTGTAGATGCTGCAGAACATATTAAACTAGCGGTGTCTAGGTTGAAAATATACCATTGATAGAAACCCTTCCTTGCAACTTTGACCAGGACTAGTTGTCCATTTGTATTTACCTGATGCTGGTAGCCAATGTGAAGCATGACCCCAGCCTGCCTGAAATTCTAATAACAGCCTGGAAGATCAGCTGACAAAATAACAAAAGGCAGGAGAACAGCGTGAGGCCTTCTCATATTTCCCTTGCACCTCGCTGTAAGTCCCCACTCTTCCTGCTTTGCATCCAGGCTGCCTGCAGGAATGGGTTATAGGTAAGCAGTGCTGGGTCAGACCATATTATGTGTCATTACACCTCAGTGCCAGCAGGCAGGACCTGCTGGGTGAATGGTGAGCCTCCAGCAAACACGCTGCTAACTCCAAAGTATTTCAGTCCATTTTTGGGAGCCAAGCAATACTGATTTCTGATTGTGCTTACCTCTTAGAGAGGATCATGCAATTCTCGGTGGCAGCTTTCCATTTCAATGGCCACTGAAAGAAATCTGTTTGGGGAATTGCCTTTCCTTATTTGTGCAAAAATCCTTTTATGCCATTAGGACGCTTTGCAAAAGGAAACAAGATCCAAGGGCTTGTCGAGGCACGGTCTGCACTACCCAGTAGAGTTAGTCTCATTAAAATGGACCTCGTCTCCTCACTGCTCCTGCACATCCTGTCACTCTATCACAGATCATCTGACATCTCTAAAATGGAAAGCATGATGTAAAGCAGGAAAAGGAGCTTGAGATTAAAAACAAAAAACAAAAAACAAAACTACAAAGACTTTAGAGAAATGGCTTTCAGGGAAGTATGCCTGTATACAAACTTGTCAAGGCTGTGCCATGCCTTTGTCCCCATAGTGGGGAACAAGGGGCACTTTGGGCCACGTGCAGCTTTTCGCCCTCACCCAGGCTTTTCTGAGCACAGGGGACAGCTCGAGCAGTCCTGCATGTGTAGCCCCCAGAAGAAAGCTCTTTCTGTAAAAGCCTGCAAAGTCCTATTCACATATTGGGCTTTTATTTTGTGCCTGTAAAAGCATCAAAACTGTATATGGACGCCAGCTGGTGTCATAACACAATTCCACTGATAAGCAAGGCCACCTTAAGCCCTGCTGAAACTTAAATGCCAGGCTGTTACTGTGGCATGTTTACTCTCACTTTTAGCTGCATTGTGCTGTTTGGCTTCCTAAATCTCAGCAGGGAAAGGACAGCTTAGCTCCCTTGAAGGCTGAGCGGCACTGAAATGATGGCTGTTGCTGTGGGGGAAGGGGTTGCGCTCAGTGCAACATGATTTGTAGGACCCTCTATAAATCATTTACCAGCATGCCTTCACGGCAAGCCACAGGCTTGCAATTTGCGGTGCTTTAAGGAATGGAAGCAATAACAACACGGAAAGGACAGGATAAAAAAAAAAAACAAAAACAACCAACGAATGAAGAGACAAACACCTCAAAAACCCTCGCCTACCAAAGCGACAGCCTTGATTTAAGTCGGAAAGACGATCTCTGACAGCATTTTAATGGGCAAGTGCCTCCTGTGCGGCCACACAGATCGCTGCGTGGGGAGGGAGCTTGGCCAGCTGCAGGGAGCGCCGCAACTGCCATCCCAGCGTCTCCCACTTGAAGCCCATTATAAATCACCCTGCGTGCTCATGAAGCAAGGGTTTGAGCCTGCAAACCTGATTGGAAGGACAGGGGTTGGAAAGGGGAGGGCAACACCGTGCGCTGCTGCCACCAATGTGCGGTCGCGGACAACACCGCAGCAGCCGCTGGGGACCTGGGCGTTAATTCCTACTGCTGGAGCTGCCTCCTGGCACCATTCCTATGCCAAATGGAAGTGCTGACAGGGGTTTCTAAGTGATAATTAATGTCAGTCAGCATTATTGTGAATAGAAGCCCTGTCTCAAAAAATACTTCTCTGTCTGAGGATGGATCTGGTGCGATGGCTCACCTCCTCCCACTGCCAGGTGCAGCGCTTGGTGCCCTGCAGCACGGTGATTAAGAAATGAGCACTCTGCAACATCAGTAAATATTGCATTAGATGGATGAAGAACTGATTTCATGAGATATTTCTGACTGGGACTCAAACAGAGATATTTCTAGGACTGAGTGGGACAGCGAAGGCATTTTCCATCTGGGACTACCTTGAAATAACTTCACTAATGTGCTGATAGGGCAGGTCAAAAAGGGCTGTCACAGGGACAGGGTTGGGAGTACCAACCAGGGTAAATGAGTCAAGGGCTTCCTTTTCTCCCATTTCATTGTCTAATGGAACATTCATGGATGGGGAAAATAAGCTTGCCCCAAAACACTGCCCCTAAATATCAACAGGTGTAAAGGCTGAGGGAAGCAGGACAAGCTGTGCACTAACTGCACAGGGACAAGCATCTGAACTGAGGTTGCCAGGGGGGAGCCATGCTAAAGAGGTGAAATAATCCCTGTATACAAGGAGGGGGATGCAGGTAGATTCAAGCACAGGCTTTTTAGGCTGCCTGCAGTCTAGATGAGGCCAGTTCCTGACAATGTGCTCAGCTCCAGGTTCATCTTTTTTAATAAGGGTGTAACAAAATTGGTGACTGCACAGAAAAAAGCTGCA